AAAGCTGAATTTTCAGCATCATTACTCCAGTCTTCAGTGTCACATGACCCTTCAGAAAACATTCTAATATGCTGATTTGCAGATTTTTATTATTGTGCTTCTTAATATTTTTATGGAAACCTTGATACTTTTTTCAGGATTTATTTTTTTTGATGAATAGAAAGTTAAACAGCATTTATTTGAAATAGAAATCAATCATTATAAATGTCTTTACTGTCCCCATGAGGGGAAAAAAAAAAGTAAAATAGTAAATGATGTTTATCTGAAAGTGTAACAATGCAAACAGGTTTTCTGTAAGAAGTAGGTTTAGGGTTAGGGGATAGAAAATATCGTTTGGTCATGATAAAAGTAATAGAAGTCTATGGAAAGTCCCCACAATTCACAGAAACAAACATGAGTGTGTGTGTGTTTGTTTTGTGAAGGAAAATGTAAAAAAAATAAAAAATTTACAACAGCCCTTGATTTCTCTAACTTCTCAAAACATCAGCAACAAGATGTGTGAAACTTGTTCTTTTTTTTATATATATAAGAAGTTTTCCTTTTTCTCTCGAAGTCATTTTGGGTGTAATTGCGTGGCCTTGTAGGAACATCAGAGCTGTAGGCGAGACAATGAGCGCGAGCGAGTCTCTCTGCTGACACTGCATCTCTCCAGCACACGTTCATTTACCGGGCCGGGCCTTCAAGGACAAGTGGCCTTGTGTAGAATTTATCGTCTGCTGGGTCATGGCCAGTCTTGCTGCCAGAACAGAAATATAATTTTCCATTTGCTCCGAATGAGTTTTTAATTTGAAGTTAAGTGAGTATTGACCACCTGTCACTGGATATGAAATCATAGACTCCAGCTCTATCAGTCTCACCGTACAGAGAGTGTTGATATGCTCTCCACGTCCTTTATCCACTTTTGGATTGAAAAGGGTCAGCGTGTACTTTTTATTTTACTTTTTTTTTTTTTCATTTAGAATTTGATTTTCATGGCCATTGTTTGTCCTCTCTTTGACTATTCTTATGACTTAAACTATTCAAACTAATAACTATATGAAGTAGTTTGTTTGTTAATATTTATCATGGATGGCAGATCACTGTCACTTCTAGTTACCATATATAATTTTATTTTGGCAATAAAGTTGAGGTGATGTGATCTGTTTTGATAGTATTTTTCCCTTTTTTTGGACTGTATAGAAGAAGCATGGAAACTATGTGCCACCCATTTTTAATTTTCCATAAGGGGCTGCACGTTTGGACGTTTTATTTTTTCACTTGTACTCATTTTGTGGCTGGTGAATCACACACATGGGACTCTATTGTTATGGTCTGCATTTAAAATTTAGATTGTGTTATTACTTAGTTTGGTTTGCTTTGTTTCGTTTAGATGCACTTTTATAAGCACAGGAAAAGCACTAAATAATAATAATAATAATAGATTTCTGTATTAATAATTAATTATGTAATAATTGCATTTTATTGTAATGTTCAATGTAATATTGTAATAATAATAATAATTATTATTATTATTATTATTAATATAATTTAGATTTTTAGTAATTTTTTAATATTTCAAATGCAGTTTTAATAATTGAACATTCTAGTAGTAGTAGTAGTAGTAGTAATAATAATGATAAATTATCATCATAATCATTATATTATTTATAATTATTTTAATTGTAATGTATTATTTGGAATAGATTTTACATATTTGGAATAACATTTTAATAATTGCATATTACTGTAATGTTACATGTAATGTTGTGATAATGATAAATAATAGTACGCTAATTTTAGTAATTTTTTATATTTCAAATACAGTTTTAATATAATTGAATATTCTTGTAATGTGTAGTAATAATAAAAAAAATATTTTTAATATATTTGTAATATTTCAAATGCAAATTTAATAAATTAATATTGTTATAATTTCATAAATAATTTTTTATTAATTATTAGCAGTAGTAGAAGTAGTATTGTTGTTATTATTATATTATTTATAATTATTTTATTTTAGTAATGTTTAATACTTCAAATACAGTTTAATATAATTGAATATTTTATAATGTTATATGTAATAATAACATTATTATTATTATTGTTATTATTTTTTAAAGTAATTATTATTAAGTTTGCTGGGGTATATTTCCATTTAATGAATTTAAGAAAGACCCATTTGTTTCTTAGTCCCTTGCTCTGCACTGGTATTTATCTTGAATAAGTGCACATAATTGTAAACGTATTTGTCGAAAGTGCTCCTCATTTCTTTGCGTAAAGCTGTTTAATGAGAAAAAAATGACCCAGAGCACCTTTAAGTGTCAATATAAGGGCCTAACAGTCGCTGTCAGGGTGCCATATCAATAAGTGGATTCCAGTGGATCATTCTGAGCGTGACACTGATTATTATAAACAGCATGTCTGTCTGTGAGACGTCTGGCATAAAACAACCCTCTTAATGAATCACTCCGCTGAGAGCGTGATAGTTCAGGCAGGTCACGGCGGCGGACACAGCAGTCCAGATCTGTGCAACTCATTTATTATCCTATTGTATTACCAGACTGATATAATATTTGTGTTACATTTGATTGATGAATGCGGCGTATGTATGTTTAAATGTGTGGTGTCTAACTCGCAGAATATACACATTCACACATATGCGCACGTGATTCACTCCTAATTGTGGAGCACTTAATGAGGAAGAAAAACATATGCTCCGTCATCTGCTCCAACCATATGCCAAACCCTATAACACAAGAGCCAGCCACACTACCAGAGCCTATGCATTCACTGCACACTTCTGCGCTCTGCATCCATTCAGACACAAGGTACCTGCTCTGAGGATTTTAGATGGATGAAAATGCTAATACTGATATATTACAAAGAATCTAATGTAATTATAAAAAATTTAATCTATATAAAATTGCTGAAATTATTATTAGAAATGACAAAATGTGCTAAAAACACTAAAAATATGATTATAATATTTTATATAATTATATTAAAAATATTTACTCAAAATTCAAAAATGTGGAAGCAAATATAATAATATCGGTCTACACTAAATGTATATAGAATTGCTGTAAGTAAATTAATATTTACAAAATATTTACTCAAAATTCACTTGAAAATATGATATATTATATTATATAACAATATTTACTCAAAATTAGTTTCAAAAATTCGGAAAAAAGAAATATATATATATATATATATATATATCTTGACTTTGTGTATATAAATATTCTCTTCATTCTATGTGCACTCGAAAATAAAACTATTACATAATCGTGGCAGAGCAGAAACTAAAATATAATAAAATAACAATAGTTTGAAATAGATTTATTTAAATAACAGATTTACACATTTAAATTCAATTTCATATAATATATATGTTATATATATTTGTATATATTATATAAATATATACAATATATAAATATATACAATAATATAATATATTTGTATATATTATATAAATACTACTACGTTGCTTTGCAATGATTTGTATCGTGAAAAGCGCTGTACAAATAAAACTTGAATAAAAAATGTCGGTAAAATCACAGAAACATTTACTAAATATTTACTCAAAATTCACTACAAAATTTTTATAAAAGATTGATAAAATATAATATTATTTTAATATTAAAATGTATATCATAAACTGTAGATTATGAGTAGCTTATAGCTTTAGAAGCCATGATTTCAGAGTAGCTATATTATTATATTATATTATATATTATATTATTGACTTTTATAGCAAATGTATATCAATTTGCAATAATTAAATGAGCATTTACAAAATATTTACTAATTTTAACTACAGCAATTTGAAATATTATAATTGATTTCATTATATTATATTATACTTGACTTTGTGTGTAATAAATATAAAATTGCTGAAATCAAATAAACATTTACAAAATATTTACTCAAAATTCGCTGCTAAATTTTAATAAATATACATATTTTTTCAGATTGATCAAATATAATATTTTAACAACCTAATCTCATGAGGAAAACGTACCTGTGCGCAGGACGCAATCACAAGCATGCCGTTTTAGCTTGTTTTTCGATCTCTCATCTTTCAGCTTTTTCATCACGAGTCAGGTTTTTCACGGGATTCCGCATCCTATGTTCACTTCCGTGCCAGCTGAGCTACCGAGCCAGCTTGTTATATCCGGAAAGTGAAACATATGCAGCTGTAATCATAACTGTGTACGAAAACGATTACAAGTGCTCCGTGACGTTTTAAAATACCATACCATCTGCACTACACCTAAGCCTACCCGATAGTATTAACAAAAGTGAATGTGACGTGAAAACGCAATCACAAGCATGCCATTTTAGCTAGTTTTTCGATCTCTCATCTTCGAGCCCTTTCATCATAAGTCATGTTTTTCACGGGATTCGTACCCAAGGATACTGCATCCTAAGTCCAGTTACGTGCCTGCTGAGCTACCAAGCCAGCTTGTTACATCTAGAAAGCGAAACATATTCAGCTGTAATCATAACTGTGTAGGAAAATGATTACAAGTGCTCGCTGTTTTACCGCCTCTAGTGTTAATTTCTGTTGGAAACTGCAGTGATATGTACTTATTGGTACATATTTCGCATCTTGCGAAAACGTTCCCACGGGTACGTTTTCGTCATGAGATCAGGCAGTATTTTAATGTTATGTTATGTATCATGACCAGTAGATTTTCAGTATTTTATTTTATATTATATTATATTAATAAACTATAATAGTATTAAAATAAATGAAATTATGTATCATGGCTGTACTTAAGCTGCTTTGAACTATGACTAGGCTACCTTATATCTTGAGCAGCCACGTTTTAGAGTATCTTCCCCAAAACTGTTTCCTGATGGTCATCTATCATCTCAGATGTTTCATTACTCGTGTTGATTTCTGGAATTCACATCTGCCATCATCCGTCGCACGCTCCATCCCTCTCTTTGTCTCTCTTCTTCCTGCTGTATGTATTTCTTCTCATTCTGTCTCCTTGTCTGGACTGTAGCACCCTTGAGAGTCCCAGCAGACTGGATGAAGAACATCGTCTGATCGCGCGGTATGCTGCTCGTCTGGCAGCAGAGGCCAGCAACTCCACCGTGAGGCTCAATTCACAAACACACTCAAATTACACTTCTATGCTTTACAATGGAAAGAAAAAACACCTTGTTGGTGAAGTTTTCAGAGGACACTTTTTTACTGTGTGGAATTTATTGAAAATCAACAGCATGTTTAGTAATATTCATTTGTGTCTACATCTGGCTTTTATGCTCCATAACTAGGCAGCATATTTTTTTATGTGTTCATTTATTGGCATCTTTCTAATTAGTTTTGAGCATAATCAGTAATACTAATTATTTTGTCTTTTAGCAATGCCCTCCAACTGATCTGAGTTTCAACTTTGATGCTAATAAGCAACAGAGGCAGCTCATCGCAGAACTAGAGAATAAAAACAGGTGGGTTTTTTAAACATGTTTCTTGCTTTGCGATGGAACTACATTTCTTCAAGCTAAATGAAAATAAGTCATTATGTATTCATATTTACTGTCCCGTAAAATAATAATGATAATTGAAATGCTGTAATCATGTAATATATTTACTTATGCAACTGATAAAAACATTAATTATTTGAATTAAATATTTAAATATTATTAAGAGTTAATTATATTATGCAGAAATAGCAGTAATAATAATATTTGTTATACATTCCATTAATCAAACAAAAATGTATTTCAATATTTAAATATTGTTTACAATTAACACTTATTAATTACAGTTAATTAAATAATAATAATAATAATTATTATTATTATTATTGTAATATATTTGAATATTCAAACAATAAAATTAGTATTAATTACATTTAACCAAATTATATAATGATGATGATGATGATAATATATTTAATTACTCAACCAATAAAAACATTAAATATTTAAATTAAATACTTAACTATTATTTTCAATTAAATGATTTAACAACTATAGTAATAATGTCTATTATTATTATTATTATTATTATTATTATTATGTATAGTTATATAGTATATTGTTAATTTAAACATTTAATGTTTTATTAATAATAATAATAATTATTATTATTATTATATTATAGTAATCATAATAATAATAATCATTATTATTAATAATAATAATATTGTTAAAGACAAGAGTGATTAATGAGACTGTGTTACATTACAATTGAGTGCTTTCAATAGGTGCCAGTGAAGTTCATTTTGGTTTCTGTGTTTGGTGCATATAGGGAGATACTGCAGGAAATCCAGCGTCTGCGTCTAGAACATGAACAGGCTTCTCAACCCACTCCAGAGAAAGCCCAGCAGAACCCCACTCTACTGGCAGAGCTACGACTGCTGCGGTACACAAACACGTTCACACACAGCCTTTATACACGCATGCACAAAAAAACTACAGAATGGATGTAGTATTAATCAGGGTTGTAAAGAGGAAGCGTTCAGCATTAAATTAGCCGTAACTTCAGTTAACCAGAGCGTTTCACAATGTTTGAGGTTGTTAGGAGCATAACAGGTTTTAAATGGACCGGGTGGGATTTCACTCACTCCCTGTAGTCATTATTCAAGTCATTTAGACGGAGTACCTTTTATAGGCACCAGAGGGCATGTAGGAGCCAAATTAGTTTTCTTAATAATATGTTGGTCTCATTAGATGAGTGAATGAGCACATTTCCATTATGTTCTGTTTTTGCCCTCTTTGTTTTAGTTTCATGGAGATTTAGTCACTTTATGTGCATTTCTGAGCAGTACTATGCATTTAATGAAACTTGAGTGGAAAGGTGATATTCTACACTTTGTTTTAGTTTCATGGAGATTTAGTCACTTTATGTGCATTTCTTTGCAGTACTATGCATTTAATGAAAGACTTGAGTGGAAAGGTGATATTCTACACTTTTGTCATGATTTTTTAATGTTAATCAAGATTTCATAATTTAGTTTTACATTTTACCATTAGCTGTCATAATTTTAACCCGTAAAAGCTTTGTTTTTGGTACTGTATCTTTAAGAATGGTATACGCGAATATCCTGGTTCTGAAGTCAATACCATTATAGCCATTTTTCCCACTTAGTTTTTATAAATTGTATGAGTGGGTTGTGGAGGGAGGTTTGCATTATGAACATAGTACAAGGAGCTTTTTATTTCAAAAGAGCAAAGGAAATCCTGTTTTCCATCATATGTGCCCTTTAAGTCGCGTATATTTGGCAGTCATTGATTTTTATGATTCATATGGTGATTCATTTATTCATTTTGTTTGTCATTTGGTTCAGGCACAGAAAAGACGAGTTGGAGAGGCGCATGTCGGCCCTGCAGGAGAGCAGGAGAGAACTGATGGTCCAGCTGGAAGGTCTCATGAGGCTGCTGAAGGTACAGCTCTTTATTTCCCTCGGCATGTATGAAAACTTCATTTGTTTGCTCACTTTTTGCCTCTCTTTTTTTCTTCACCTTTCTCTTTCCCACCGCTGTCTCTCTGACGTGTCTGCTTTCACTCACTGTCATCTCTCATCTTCTGGCTGACAGGATGAAGAGCAGAAACAGGCAGTAAGTGTTCCTTTAATACAGCTCTGCAATTCTGGAGTAAACATGCGGGGTCACAGCTGCAAAAGTTTGAACTAACATATGTATTGTGTATGGCAAAACAGGCATTTTCAAAAAAGTGACAGGTAAAAGATTAACGGGTTGCATAACGCTGAAAAATGGAGAGGATCGCTGACAAAAATAAAAACTTCTGTCATTATTTACTCACCCTAACTTTCTTTCTTCTGTGGAACATAAAATTAGATATTATAAAGAATGTTCAGGCTGCTCTTTTCCATGCAATGAAAATGAATGGGATTTTTTTCCACCAAACTCTGGAAACAATGAAAATGCTGCAAATATACTTTTATATTTGTTATATACTTTTACAAATATATACTTTATTTGTTATATACTTTTACTTATACAAATATTCTTTTATGAAATTAGTTCATGACTCATTTGACTGCCATCATATAACACTCACAGTTAATCTTAATTGTTTTAATTAATATCTTTGAGTGTTATAATGACTTTACCATCATATAACACTCACAGCTAATCTTTAAAAATATGAATAATTTAAGATGATTAATTTTAATTTATCTTAACTTTGTGCATGATATATGTAGATAAAATTGCTGAAATTAAATAGACAATATTTACTCAGAATTCACTACAGATATTTGATTGTTTTTGACCTTGTAATGTAATCTTTAGCAAATCTCAAAAAAGAATATGCAGTTTTAAGTCTATGTACATTATAATACTGTAATGCCTACATTCACTATATTTTATTTATTTAGACAAAATTGCTTTATTAGTCATTGGCTGTGACTTGAAAATAATTATCTGTATCTTAATGTATTTTAATAGTGGTGCGTTCCTACTCTTTTTGTCATTTTTGGAGCATCAGTCCATTGTGTTCCGCAAAAGAAAGAAAGTAATTTAGTCTTGAAATGATGTAATGATAAGTAAATGTTTACAGAATTGCTATTTCTAAAACTTTAAAAATGACTGATAAGTGAAGGTTGCTTAATGAGAATAAAGCATGAGTTTATCTCATGAGCTTATCGCAGACTCTCTGTGGGTGATCTCTGTCACGTCTGCTCCTCGTAACGAGGACATGAAGCTCCCATTTCCAGTCAAGTCCCACTGCTTTGTTCCTGTGACCCAGGGTGGGACCACGAGCCGCATGTCTCCCTGCCAAATTTCAGAGACCTGCTCTCCTTTCATCAGGGCTAAGGACCTCACGTCTAATGTGCTTGCAGTCTGGCCAGCCATCTGCTGCCTGGCAGTGGGCCACAGGCCCTGGGCCCAGCATCAATCTGTGGGACAGTGCGGCTCTTTTCTACCATCCTTTTGCTCCTCTAATGGCACTTGCATGCTGCTCAGTGAGCTCTCAGGCCAAAGATGTATCCGCTACAACCTAAAGAAACAGATCAGATATCTATAGGCGAGTCTGCAGTAGTAGCTTTTTATCAGTGTTTCTTGGGGAGCGAGGGACCAATGGAGGTTCAGGTTGTTATATATCTAGCGTAATTTTTGCGTTCTCCTTCCTCATCTCCCTACTACAGGTTCAGACGGGGAGTTCGCCCCACTCATCTCCCAGCCACAGTGCCAGCTGCACCATGCCTATGCCCATCCGCTCCACCTCAGCCGGCTCAACCCCCACACACACGCCACAGGACTGCCTGGCAGGGGTCGGAGATGATGTGTTGGATGCCTTCTCTCAGGGTGAGAAGTGTCAAGCTTTGCATTGACATTATCATCCACATAAGATGTTTAAAAGATGTTTTGAATATGTTTAGAAGATGTCTGGAAGATGTTTAGAAGAAGATTAGAAAATGTTTAGAAGATGTTTAGTAGATGTTCAGAAGATTAATAAAATATCTTTAGAACATGTTTTTAAAAATGGTTAGAAGATGTTTATAAGATAAATAAAATATATTTAAAACATGTTTTTAAAGATGAATATGTATAGAAAATGTTTAGAACATGTTTAGAAGATAATTAGAAAATATTTACAATATGATTAAAAGATGTTTAGAAGATGTTTAGTAGATGTTTAGAAGATGAATAAAAGATCTTTAGAACATGTTTTTAAAGATGGTTAGAAGATGTTTAGAACATGTTTGGAAGATGATTAGAACGTTTGGAAGATGATTAGAAAATGTTTAGAATATGTTTAGTAGATGTTTAGAAGATGAATGAAAGATGTTTAGAAGATGGTTAGAAGGTGTATAGAAAATGTTTAGAACATGATTGGAAGATGATTAGAACATGTTTAGAAGAAGATTAGAAAATGTTTAGAAGATGTTTAGAAGATAAATAAAATATATTTAAAACATGTTTTTAAAGATGATTAGAATATGTATAGAAAATGTTTAGAACATGTTTGAAAGATGATTAAACCATGTTTAGAAGATGATTAGAAAATGTTTAGAATATGATTAAAAGATGTTTAGAACATGTTTAGAAGATGATAAGAAGATGTTTAGTAGATGTGTAGAACATGTTTAGATGGTGCTTAGAACATGTTTAGAATAGCATTAGAAGATGTTTAGAACACATTTAGAAGATGATTGATTGTAAGATATTCATAACAAGTTTACAAGAGGATTAGAAGATGTTTAGGGGAACAATGTCCAAACCAATCTTTTCCATAAAAAAGACGGGGGCTTTTAGCACTACAAAATACCATAATTGTAGTCTATACGACTGTTATTGACAATATTCTAAGACATCTGATGCCATTTGATAGCTCTGAGTGAGAAACAGACTGAAATTTAAGTCGCTAAATTAATTTTGGATTGATATATTATAGCTCTGGATATTGTGATCTGAAAAAGATCCTCTTTCATCCAGGTGTACCAAGAAATCTCCGTAATGATCTTTTAGTGGCTGCAGACTCCATCACAAACACTATGTCGTCACTAGTGAAAGAACTTCACTCAGGTACTCTTGTACACTCACTTCTCTCCTCTAAGTACCCACTTCGTGATCTGAGTGGTAATTTTAATGTTTGTAAATTCTGCAGTGGATGACGGTTTGGAGGATGAAGAGTGTAACATGCGAAATGGAAGAGAGAAGGGTGAGTACCAAAGGCTTTGCTTGCCATTTTACCCTTATTTCTTACCTATTCCTTTACTTCTGTTCTCTCATTGACAACTGATGTAATAATTAAAACCCAAAAGCCCAAAGTCCATTTCTCTTTTAATAAGCTTCCAAGCTTTTATATATAAGGATGCACGATATTGAACGGTACTGTATGAATTATCGGCCAAAATTTATTTATTTTTATTTTTTTAATTTTTTAATTTTTACATTTACAAATTTGCATACACTATCATCCAAAAGTTTTGGGTGAGATATTTTAAAGACATTAGTGCTTTTATTCAGCAAGTACACAAAACAGTGAAAAGTGACATAAGACATTTATAATAATGATACAAAAGATTTCTATTTATTAAATAATGTAATTGTGTTAGAACCAAATCATCATATTGGTGATGATTTCTGAAGGATCATGTGACACTGAAGACTGTAGTAATGATGCTGAAAATTCAGCTTTGCTGCCACAGTAATAAAAAAATAAATTAATTAAATAGAAAACAGTTTTTCACAATTCCACATTACTGTTTTTATTGTATTTTTCAAACAAATGAAGCCCAGACTTCTTTAAAAACATTTAAAACATTATTTAAAAACTTTTGAAAAGTAGTATATACGTTGGCTGATGTTGTATATTTAATTTAATTTGTTGTCATCTAGTGCTCATTTATATGCTCAGTTGTATTTTATTTCATATTTAATCTGTATCTATCTGTATTTATGTTCTACTGTTAGTGTTATCTGTATGCACCAAGGGTCTGAGAGTAACGCAATTTCAATTCTCTGTGTGTTGTACATGTGGAAGAATTGACAATAAAGCAGACTTGACTTGACTTGACTTGATTTAAAGTCTTTTAAAACCAAAATCTTTAAAAACACACAAAAAAATCAATAACACTGTTAATCTTCAGCAAAATGAATATCCATTTTCATACTGTACGTTATAATGTGATGCCTAAATTCACTTTTAGCAGTTAATTTGTTTGTTTTTTTTTTTAAATTTTTTTCATTTATATAGTAGTATAAATCTTAATTTATTGGTTCTTGGACATAGCATGACAATAATGATCAGATTATTAGAAATGTAATATCGGTGCATCCCTAATTATTTAAAGATATTAAACTTAGTTACCAGCCTATAGAATGTAGTCATTAGTTGATTTGGTTTGATTGAGGCCTCTTTTCTTTCTTCTAGCTGAGTCAGAGTAAAAGAATATAGAATATTTCATGTAAGTATAAATGAGTACATTGTCTAGTCTTGCCCCTTAAAGCCAAAGTTAAAAGTGCAATGTACTGTGGAGCCGTTATGACCCCCTAACCTTAAATTTGTGTTTTGTCCAGTGTCATCGCTGAAGCATTCCGGGAAAAGGCACTCCAGCCCTTCATTCTAAGCCCCAGGAAAGAACCAGCGACATCAAAAGCTCTCTGGCATTCGCACATAGACAAATGCATGCTCTTCCTCAACTGGGTTTCACTATGTGAAACAAACTCTTCATCACACCTTGCACAGAGCAAGATGTATTTATTAGGAAGTATATAAATATATATATATATATATATAAATATAGCTCTATGTCTATCTGTATAAACCCATTGTTATCACGTTATCCATGAGAATGGCTTGTTTGTGCTTTCTTAAAAAACCTTTATGACTTTGTGATTACTACTCTCTGAAACGAACGCACTGTGCATCTTCATGACGTCACTCAAATGGATCTATGCTGTAGCTATTTTTCCAGATGTTCGCCACACAGGAAGCTTTTTTGTATAACTAGTGATGATTTTTTGTGTTTTGATGCATGGAGTGGCTCTACTGGATAGATGGAGAGGGCTCGTATTTTCTTTGCATGTGACATTTATTCCGGCCGACTCGAGTGATGCCTGCTCCGTCGCTCCTTGTAGTCTTCTGATCATCAAACTGCTGCTTCTGCATCAAATGCATCCGAACCACCATATATCAGGGACGTCTCGTAGAGCTTGCCGTTTGTCTGGGATTTCTGCTACTGTGTTAAGTTACTGCTACCCGTCGTTGTGGCCGTTGTTTTAGCGCTTCGGTATTGCCTCTTAGTTTAGAGTATCGCATATGTATCTCTCTGTATTTTTGGAGAGCATAAAGGGACTTTAATGGAATACGGATGTATGTTCCGTATATCCATAAACCAGATTAGCCAGCCATCTTTGAGTGCACACGTCTCTGTAAAAGTTACTTCAAAAGCTTTATTGAGTTATTGGGTTATTGTGTATACTCGTGTAAAATAAATGAAACCAGTGCTCAGGGACTGTTGAGAGAGGAACGCGGTAGCAACGCTTGTGAACAAATGGGTGGAATTTACTTTGACACCACAAAGGTCAAATGTCAAAGATTAGCACAGGTCATAAAAACTTTATGGAACGGCTGAGTGTAGAAAACAGGATCGTTGTATGGAAGCCCATCTCTGCCACATAAGAAAAAATGCTTTGGTAATTTGTAATTATGGCATCATAACTATATAAGATAAAAAGTCAAAACTATGCCATAAATAGTCAAAATGATGAGATTAGTCAAAAATTGAAATTATGAGAAAACAGCCATAATTATGACAAGTTGAAATTATGAGGTAAGTTATGACAATTCAACATTGAGATAAAAAAAAAGCATGAAAAATAATACAAATAATTCTAACATAAAAAAATATAACTGTGACATAAAAAGAGTTGAAAGTTTGACATAAAATTTGAAATTATGACATACTAAGTCATAACTATAAGATAAAAATGCCATAATTATGAGATTAAATTCATAATTATGACAAAATTTTGAATGATAAGATAAGTTATACGTAATTATGACAAGTCAAAACTGAGATAAAAAATCATAATGGTCATAAAAGCATAAAAATAATAAAAGCAAAAAAAGCACAAAAATAAAATAAAAAATTCTAACATAAAAAAACATAACTATGACATAAAAAGTTGAAAGTTTGACATAAAATTTGAAATTGACATACTAAGTCATATAAGATAAAAAGTCAAAATTATGACAAAATAAGTCAAAATTGACATACCAAGTCATAGTTAAGAGATAAAGTCAAAATTATGACAAAAAGTAACTGAGATAAAAACATAATTATGACATAAAACGGTCGAAATTATGATGTATACGAAGTCATAAATATAAGATAAAAGTCGAAAGTATGAGATAAAATTCAAAGTTATGAATTATATTGACAAAAAGTCAAAACTGTGATATACTGTCATTATTATGAGATAAAACGTTACAGTTATGACAGCCACAATTATGAGAAAAAGTCATGACTGACAAAAGTTTGACTTTTTAACTCAAAATGTCAGCTTTTTTAATTATTTTGAATTATCTCATAATTATGACTTAGTCCCCCAGTTTCACAGACATGGCTTAATTTAACTGTCACCCCCCATTTTTTAAAATAGGCATGCAGGTGCACTATCCAAACTTAAATTGTTGTAATTTATGAACACTTTGGAATACAGACATAAGGTTGGTCTCTTTTTAAAGAAGAAAATCAGCAAATTATCGCAAAAGTGGAATTTTTTCAAAAAATTGAAGTATCAAAAAGTTATAGTAGTTTAAATTTACTGTAAAGAAAATGCACTATATTAATTTTATTTTATATATAATAAATATTTTACATATCAGGTTTTACTCTAAAATTGATATAAAATTATAGCCTTATGTCTAAATAAGTTATGTTCCAAATTTGAAGTTGATATGAAAAAAATTGAGGTTCCTGTGAGATTTTATTTAGGGCATTATACCACAAACAGCCACCGGGTGCCATCCAAACTCCATTGAATTTTTTAATGCATTTTTCTGTCACAAATGTCTAGATGTTTCTGTCAATATTACTTATATCTCAAAATAACCACCAAATATGGAATCCTGAGACTCAGACCTTTCCAATGATATGTTTTTTGTCAAGATTATAAAAAGTTTTGATTCTAAAAGACCGTAATTCATTTTGTAATATGACACTTGACACTGCCCACTAAGGGGGAGGAGACTGCCAAAAGATTTTAAAGTACCATTTCCATGGTAACGCAATGTCTGATTTCGAAATGGTTTTCACAGGATGAATCTAAGCTTTCAAATGATATATGATTTATGATGATTACTAAAAGATTTGATAGAGAAAAAAGACAACAAAAAAAGAGCGCCAAACGTTCCACAGGTGGGACGGTGACATTAAGGCTAGTCCCAGATTGAAATGCATGTTTGAGCTGTCTCAACTGAAAATATCTTGCTCCGACATATCTTAAAAAATGTCAGTTCCATTGTTCTGTCTCAAGATGCACACATGTAATGTTTTCTTCTATGGCATTTTTATAGAAGCTGCTTAAATATCTTAATTTAACTAAGGCCTAGTCCTGGCTTAAGCTAAGCCCCGTCTGTGAAACCGGGCCAGTATATCATCATTTTGGCTTTTAATGTTATAATTATGATTTACAAAAGCAGAATTTTTCTTTCTTATGTGACAGAAATGGCTTCCACAGTGTTGCACATCAGACATGGACACGCAGTGTTAGGAAGAAGACATGCTTAGCGTGTAAAGCTTTATTGTCGTGAGGAAGAGAGTTTGATTTACTGTACTTGAATCAGAAGGAATTCAGGTTCAATAATGACATTTATCTAATTATTATAAGTATGTAATTGTGTTAAACTTGTGATTTGTTCTTTGTTAGTTTGGTTTCAAATAAGAAATAATAACCATTATTTAAAAAAAGTTTTGTTTATGACTGCTAACTTTTAAATGTTAAATTAGATCAATCCATTGAGCAACAGCTTAAAGTGAGTTTTGGTGTAGAATATTAAGATTCTTTGACATTTATGAGGGTCATTAGATGAAATGATTCATTCACTGTTTATTACTTTTCTAAAATGCTTGTAATTCTGCATAAGGAAGTCTTTTGAATGACTAATATGAACAGTGAGGTCTCATTCAGTGTGTTACACTGGAAAAAGTGTTGCTTTTGTTATAGTGAGTGCAATCATATATATTTGCTTTTTCGAATCAGATTTTACATATCATAATGCTCGTTCTGTGTTTCAAAGAAAGGAATGTAAAATGTAGTTGGGAATTTATTGTTATTGTTTTAGCTTGGACGACAACGTACGAAATACTCTCAGATGGCAAGTTTGAAAGTTTGATTATGTTCCAACATTTGCTACAAATATGAATGCAATCTTCTGATGTAGGTGTGTGCCTAGATGTACTGTATAAAAGAAAATATTCTGCACATGTGCAAGTCAGCCCTTAGATAGGAGTTTTAGTATGTGACTTAGTCGGAATGCAGTCATTATTTATCTGTGATCTTTGGAAAAAAATATTGTTCTGCCTTTAAAAGTTGTGCCAAACTGTAGTGTGTACTTTAGGTATTTGTTCTGTGTATTTGTGCGTTTTAAACCACAATTTATTGATTATGAATTTACCGAAGCAGTCCACCGAGAGGGTAACTAATAACGGGGTGCCTTAAATGGTTGAAACACAATACAGTGTAAGCAGAAGGAACCCTGCTTGAAATCAATTTCAAGCATCATTGCGAATTTATATGTTACAGATGGGCCTCCAACGGAGGACCTCCTATGTTATCAAAGTTAGACGAAACAATATTTCAAAAACAAAATCCGCAACGTCAGGTTTTCATTTCTTTGGCAACTCGTGATTTTATTGTTTTAAAATTCCAAACTGTCAGTTGAAGCTACAAACACTGTTTCATTATTTAATTTGATGGTTCTGCTGCTGTAAACAATCATTGATTGCAATGGTTTACGTCCATATTTGTGTTTACGTCACCCATATGTCTTTTTGTATACTATTAAAGTGTAAAATATATGAAAAAAACTTCAAAGGACATTGAGTGTTTGTGTGTGTGTGTGTCCACAGAATAATATATCATAGCTCCATTAGGATTGAGTTCAGATCTTTCGTCAAGGGGATCCTGTGATGGCAGGGCCACCCATAAAATTTAAATGTGAATTTAAGCATTGAGTTACAAAATCAGCGTATGAGTTATTTACCATTATGCCGTGGACAACCATGAAAATTGTACCTTTCCTAACTCCTTAATCTCATGTCATTCCAAGTCAATATGACTTGCTGTCTTTATAGTGCAGCACAGAAGTAAAGGTTGGACAGAATCACTTGTATTGTGTGCAAAAGAGATGCAATTAAAGTAGTTTTTAACCCAATATGAAAACATGACAAACATGAGACAGTTTAAAGGGACAGTTCCACCCAAAAAGGAAAATTCTGTCATCATTTACTCACTCTCAAGTTGTTCCAAACCTGAATGAGTTTCTATCTTCTGTTGGACACAAAAGAAGATATTTTGAAGAATGTTTTAACCAAACAGTTGACAGCAGCCATTGACTTCCATAGTATTTTGGAAGGCAATGGCTACTCTTACTTACTTTTTTTGTTTAACAAAAGAAAGAAATTAATATAGGTTTGAAATAACTTGAGAGTGAGTAAATGATGACAGAACTTTCATTTTTGGGTGAACTATACCTTAAACTGCCTCATGTTTGTCATGTTTTCATATTGGGTGTACTATATCGTCTAGTATGGTTGAGTTCACTCAGGTTTACTGAAAATGAACGTCCTGAAATTTCAAGGGACTCTGTTTAATAACATACCTTAGAAATCACTTTTAAGGCAAGTCTATGCACTTGAAACTAATGCCCTGTAGCAGCTACAGTAATTATGCAAGTACAGCTGCTACATCTATAAATTGTTTCTTTTTCTTCTTTTTTTTTAGCTCAAATCAAGTTAAACCATTTTTTTCAGGCATATTCCAGCTAATGTGTAAATAAGATGATGTACAGAGCCCCACAATTTATTAATGAATTCCCTGGATTAATTAATTAGTTCCCTCATCTTTAAAGGGGTCATATGATGTTGCTAAAAAGAACATTATTTTGTGTATTTGGTGTAATGAAATGTGTTTATGCATTTTAAGGTTAAAAAAACACATTATTTTCCACATACTGTACATTATTGTTTCTCCTCTATGCGCCGCCTTTCTGAAACGCGTCGATTTTTACAAAGCTCATCGGTCTGAAAAGCGAGGTGTGCTGTGATTGGCCAGCTATCCAGTACGTTGTGATTGGCCAAATACCTCAAGCGTGTGATGGAAATGTTACGCCCCTTACCATACTGTGATGCCGTGTCCCAGCGCAATGAGACAAAAACATTAAAACCCATTATAAACGAGGCATTTGTTGCATCCAGTGGGACATAATTATGGATTATAATGACTTGTACTGTCTTTTTACGCGTTGCGTTGCATTGCGCCGCGTAAACATAAAACCATGTCTGCATTTGTGATCAGAGAAATTACAAACTACAAGTGCTACTCTACACTGCTCAAAACTCAATCGTCAGTGGCAAATCCTTTAAATATAAAAAACATACTTACAGGCTGTGAGTCAGAACAGCCGGCATTGTAGCCTACTCTACCAGGATCAGGAAACAGTCCTCCATAAAATGCGCTGCACACATCTGAATATTTGGTTTGAACTGTTCTGGAACGGTGTTGTAAATACAACTTAACCACTGATTTCTAGTTGTGCCCTCTTTTGGAAGACCAAACAAAGTAGTTTCGCTTTCACAACGAAAAACACAGCGGCCTAGCGTGAGGGGAAGCCCCGGCTTAGCGTGCGCTGAGGCCGGGATAGAGTGAGCTGAGGCGGCGGGGTCGAGAACGGCGC